CTTCAGAGGTTTTAGCCTATTAAAGATTTGTCAAACAACTTTTATCGAGTTACTGTTTTTATTTGTGTCTCTCTTATTAGAGAGAGAGAACAGTCTGGTTCTGTAGCTCAACTCTTAGTGGAGGCTTGAGAAAGGGCCCTACCAGCATTGTTTCAGGTCACTCTGAGACAGAGGATATCTGATGATCACTGGAAGGATTACCTTTCACCTCACTGAGGAATCCAGTTAGGGGACAAAAGTTATGTGGAGGTTTTTTTCCTGATTACCCACGCGAGCTATCAGGAGCCAGTTTTCACTGGGGGACCTTCAAGCATCTGCCAGAGTGTAGCCCTGGCCATGACCTCTCAGTTTTCACTCCTGTTTTTATTAGTTTTATGCAATCAGAGCTCAGTCTCCAGAAAGGAATCTAGCTGCCTGTCTTGCCAGCATTTAGTCTATAATTTATTAGCCAAAGTATTTTTATACATAAATGATAACAGCCAGACCTATGAAGAGGGAGAGAGATTTTCCCTTAAACTAAATGTGTTTTGGTCCCTTAAGTGTTATGCTTATGGAAATAGCCCCTTTTGGTTTTACCCAGAAGCCGGTTTTTTTCCATGGGGTCTCAGTTGCAGTCTCCCAAGGGAGACTGTTGTCCACAGCACTAAGTGGGAACATCACCTTTATGTACTCTCTTGGATGGACAAAACCTCGATGTCTCATCTAAACCAGAAACAGAGTATGTTTTTTTAATCTAACATGGCTTTTCTATCTTTGGCGTTGGCAAGAATGCTCAGTTTTGTCATCTGCACTCTCTCCTGTTTCTTCTTTGACTCCAATCGTCTTATGCTATTCTTCTTTGCATTGTGTAGCAGCTGCTGGATGGATTTCTCGTGGTCCCTTACAATTTTAAACCAATTTTTCTTTTCCTGGTCACTAATTGCAATCTTATCTTCTATATCTGACATTCTGTCCTCACATTGGCTCAGTCTGCTGAGTAGACTTTCAATTGAGTTTTTAATCTCCTGGAAATCTGTTTGCATCTGTTTTATGGATTCCATTTGTTTCCTATGTTGGGATTCCATCATGTTTCTGAGGTCCTCTCTAGATTTAGTAATCATGTCTTGCACTATAAGCACAATCTGTCCTGTTATCTGAGACAGTATTTTTGATTTCCCTTTTTCCAGATCCTCTTTTATTGTCAGTTCAGGGAGTGCAGGTGTTTGAGTATCACAGTGTTCCATCTCATTTCCTTTTGGGATTGCTGCAGATGATGTGGAAGTCTGGTTTTGAGACTTGTTTATATGTCTTCTCTTTTCAACTGGGGGTGGGGGGATGAAAGAGGGGGTGCTTCCCGGCACCTGCATGGTTCACCTCCTCTGTGCTGGTGGGATGGTATGGTGGCCTGGAAGCCTCCTCTTCTGAGCTGCAAGCGACTCACCTCCTGTGTGCTGGCAGGGGTGGTACGG